AGGCTTTTTTTTAGACAAGCATTGCGTAAGCACTGTGCTGCACTGCAGACGCTAGTACAAACTGCCTTGATTTGCAAGTCTAGACATAAAATAAGGCAACCAGGACATTTAGGATCAAATTCTTTCCTCCTCTTCCTCAGTCTGGCTATATAGGAAAGTATCTGAAGAGTCTTGGCCTAAAGATCAGTCTCTACATAGTAACACAGTTGACTAGCCCATTGATTCAATTCACCTCATGGAAGGCTTCCTGACAGAACGTTGTCAGAAGCATATCCAGGATGGACTTGTCCATTGCCATAACTTCTGGCCACCAAAACTAGTTAAACGAGTTAGCCAGCACAGATGGAATTTCGATCTTTGCGTATGGACTGGCTGTCTACTAATTAATCCATGTACACTCAACTAGAGGAAGTTAAACTGTGATAGACGCTACTTAAACAGAAAATATTAAAGTTATTGGGCCTTAGATAACCAATTTACAGCTGCACCTCACATATACTTCAGTGCAGCAAAGGCTTACAAATTAAAATATTTTAACTGTGAAATTACTGAGAAACATGACTGCTTAAAACAACAACAACAAAAAAGACATTCTTATGAGTGCCTTTAGCCCAGAGAGGTAACAAAGGTCTGCCCTGGACCCCTGTGGTAGCATACAGAGAAAGCAAAACCAGGAAAATATTCAAACACAGCATCTAGAGATACACATATGCCATTCACTTGAATTACTGAAGCTTAAACTCATGAAAAAATTAATTAGCCAAGAAAACATGGCAGAATTTAATCAGTGAGAATATATGAGGCAATGTATATGTAACTGATAAATAGATTGGTATATAAAGGAAGCCACAGTTCAGATACAAGACGCAGGACCTCTGAACCCAACAGCACCCCACCTGTACAGTAGTATATTGCTACACTTGTCACTTACAATACTGTCCCAAAAAATAAAGTTTTGTCTCATAAACCCACTGCATAGCCACTACGTGCTATGCTACTGCCAACTGAATTCGGTCCCCGAAACAGACAGGACTGGAATGACTCAGTTAATCACGATCAGTGGACGAGCAAGTGCACCCTAAATTACCAGTAGAGAGGCAGGGTTGCTGATGTGTCAATATTCGCCAGTATGTTAATAGCAGCCAGCAGGACTCAACGTATCGCTTCACACTGTAATTATCTCATTCTATTGCAAGCTGCCACTGGAAAAGTAGTCTCACTCTTCCTTCCCTTTCCTTTCCCCACTGCTCATTCTTAATGTCTCTCTTGTATCAGATCAAGCCATTGAGCTGCCATAATAAGTTAGCTAATGAGGGGGTGGGGAGGATAAATAACAAGAAAAAAGTTCCACCCTCAGATCATCCAGTTTATCCAAGACGATCCTGCAGCCAGACAATCACTGCATCTGAAGCATGGAAAAAGGCAAAAACACATCAGCCAGGTTGGAGGATAACAGTGGAACTGCCCTTTTTGGCAGCAATCCACAGTTTGACTGTGTAAGATACACATACCTCCCAAATCAGTCTGAGAAAAGCAGACAAAGCTAGATATACAGCTTTGTTGCCTCGGACTGATGAACACCACACCTTAGACGAGCTGCCATGCATAAGCTTGCTCCAGTGCTGCTGATCTGCCTGGCGTTCTAGAAAATCCAGGGCAGAATTCCTGAGGTCGATTTACCTTCGAAGTAGTGGCTTAGGCATCTTGGACAAGAACCTGCTCCCATCAAGCCGAAAACCTCTCTATATGAACAGGCTCCAAATAGTCACTAGAAATTTCCTTAACTTTGAATTTTACTTCTCTTATTTTTGGCCCATTGGATCAAAGCCCAGCATTGTTCACTTTCTAGATAAGCAATAAAGTTTTTGAAGAAGTAGGTGAAACACAGATACAGAAAAAGAAGATTAGTAAATTCTTAGTTTTAGAGATAAGTAACAAGAGCAAATGCACAGTAATATTTTCCCCCCAAATACGAGGGGACATCCACCTTTTCCTATGACTTATTTTGATATGATGATCCTAATGATCATTACATTAAAGGGTTCTTACTTCAACTCTCTTCCTCAGTTTCTTTTCCTTACATATGGAGAAGGGGGAAATAAACTTTTCCTTGGCCCAGCCAGTCTTCATTTGACAACTTACGAAAATTACAGAACACATAACTGTGTACCCAGGCCTATTCAATAAACATTTTGACAAAGTAAGAATCAATTCCCTCTTCACTTCCAAGTGAAGAAATTTATTTTTTTCCTGTGAAGAATACAGTGAAACCACTTCTTGTTTCCATTAAAAAAAAAAAAAAAAAGAAAAAAGTTAAGGTCACCAACAAAATGCTGAAGTACTTTAAGCAGCCTCATGCCAGTAACACAGTCACAAGCTTTCCATCACATGGTAGTCTGGGTGATCAGGTCACTGTTCCACAAAAAGCTAGAGAACTCAAACCAATACAAAGCCTCTGCCTAAATCTTCCAAAACTTGCAAGACGTAGGTACAGCAAGTGGGAAATGAAGGAGTTTGCTTTGCTTTTTTGTTATATGCACCAGAACACCCTGTCCTAAGCTAGAATAAAAGTAGTGCTATTTAGCCTGGCAGGCAGTCTTCATCAGTGGCCTACAGTAGGTACCAAGGGAAAAATGTAAGCACATGTCAAGTCACTAGTGATAGTTGTCTGCTTCACTTCCCCCAGAGATCTGAAGCACATGGATTTCCTGCTCCAGCCATTAAATACTTGTGTTCAGCCACAGTCATTTTTCCTTGGTTTTATTCAATTGCCTTTTGAAAACAAACTCTTAGCATCTATAAGATCTCCTACAACTATACAGCAGACCTCATCATTGTGTGTAAAGAAAAAAACATTTGCTTTGGATCTACTAACACAAGTGATCCCTCATTTTGCAATAAGAAGCACATGACCATATCTTACTCACTTTGTTTGTGCTGCCCATGGTTTTCAAAACCTTCCACTATGTCTCTCCGTACAGGTACCTCTTCTCAACACAGAAGTATCCTACTCCATTTAGTATCTCCTTCCAGAGAAGGATACTTCTAATTCTTTAGTTCTGATCATCCTTGTCACCTTTCTCTAGCTTCCATAGTTCCGCTACATTCTTAGTACTACTGCCATCTTTGGCAACCCCTTTACTTGTTCCATTATTTCTAAACATTTAGCTGAAGTGGTCATGAACCTGTATATAAAGACTCTGCCTCCCTCACCAAGCCAAAAGTATTTCTTCACATTTACTTTATGCTCATTTTCTCAGTCAGACACTCAGTACCACAAAGCCTTTCAAGCCTTTCCCCGTTTTTACTACTAGGAATACAATGTCTCTCATCAGTATTTCTACCCTCTTTCCCAACAAGGACAGCACAGACCCATGTAGGATTCCCAAAATGACCATTTACTCACACACTCTTTTTTATCTCTAAACCAATTACCCATTACATACATTATATATAGGACTATAGTTGTAGTGGAGGGTGTCCCTGCCCATGGCAGGAGGGGTTGGAACCAGATGATCTTTGAGGTCCCTTCCAGCCCAAACCATTCAATGATTCTGTGATTCTATGACTCTGCTAGCCACACGTTGCATGACTTGCCTTTATAAAAAGTGTGTTAACTTTATCCTCATTACACACATCCAGGTATTTATTGATTATTCTATTTCTTAGAATAAAATTTATGCTATTTAATCATATCAACTTTAACCACAAACAGCGTTAAAAGAGTTAGCCTGATCATGTGTATGCATTTGCTCTGAGACTCAAACGCCTTGTTTCCTCAAATTTCTAATATCTCTACTATGTCAATATCCTAAAATAGAAGATAAATCAGATTGCTTGATTTATTTAGCATAGATACACACGGATTTTTTTTCATTAAAAAAATCTAGCATTTTCTATTGATGCACATACAAGTTTGCTCCTTATTTTTCTAAATCCTGTTTTAAATGGGACTTTTTTTCTTTTTTTTTTTTTAAAAAAAAGAAGTTCTGAACTAGCTTGCACCATTTCTTATTGGAGCTACTGACTCTTCTCCTAACCCTTGGATAATATACAACTATAAGGAGATCAGTTCTAAAGGTTGCAGGAGCTCCAGCAATCTCCCATTGTTTTCGGCTTTTCCCCAGTCATCAGTTCAACCTCACAGCTGGACATCATCCCCACTTCCTAATATATCTAATTGCATTTTCCCTTACGTCTTATTTTTTAAGTCTAACACTGTTAAAAAACTTTCCCTCTCTGCTCCCAGGTAGGGTGAAAAGAACATTTCAGGGCGTGTTTACAAAATATAAAGAGCTAGCAAATAGAGGGTCATCTGGCAGTACTTGTTGGTAACACGAATACCACCATCTCTTACAGCCCACTACTGAAAAGAAAGGACTCAAAGGAAAGACAGATTATTTGACATCGACGACAAAAGACTCGGAGAAACTGTTTCTTAAGTAGAACTAACAACGTCTGTTTCCTACAGGTTTGCATCTTCTTCTGCTGTTATAAGCACATAAAGACTCTTCCATACAACCCACCATTTTGGCTCCCTCTCATATTCCTTAAGTGGCATCTCAAAAAAACATTTGTTGAGTAATGCCAGTTACTTCTCATGCTCCCAAATTACTGAGTGAGAGGGAGACAGTTCTATGCCTGTTTTCAAACCATGCATGTATTAAGTGGCCTACTAACAGACTATAAAGAGTGTAGAAGGCGGAAGGTGCAGAGGGAATAAGCCACAGTTTCGCCTTGTACAAAGCAGTAATTTCCAAGAAACTTAGAGGACCTTCATGTTTCAAAATGCATTTGCTTCTGCTGATGATCACACCACAGAGGAGCAGACAAACAGTCAGAGCAACTGCACAAGCTTGTTTCCTGAGGAACCAAGGCACAAATATGCCCTTTGGCATCAGCCAAGATCTTGTCTTCTAAATCTGACTTTTATTCTGGCTTCTAGTCTTAATTCACAGTTTCATTTCAACAAGTGTTATACTTTTTTTAAGAAAACTCACCGTTTTATTACGAAGTCTAATTATGTCGGAAACAGAGCCAGCTCCACAGTACTCCATAACAATCCATAGATCTGTGTTCTTAAAATAGCTGCCATAGTACTTGACAACATAGGGACTAGATGGAAAAAAAAGTTAGATAAATAGATGAATTCTTAGTAGGAAAAAAAAAAAATCATCATCACAAGTGTTGTTAAAAATTAGCTGACACACACTAATACAGCTAAAGAGCAAGTGTAATCAAATACATTTCAAAACTGTAATTAGCTTAATCAATGCCTTGTTAGAATGAAGTCTGACTGCTTAATAAAATAATAAAGTCACAACTATATACATTACAAGTTTTCAGTGATCATCAAATACAGATACAGTTTTCCCAAACATTAGTCTTCTGATATAAAGCTTTATTTTTGCCTCCTCTAAGGCCTCTGAATTTTTAACTCTCCTCACCAAGTTATTGGATGTTCCCATTCTTGAAAAAGATTGCCTTGTTTTCATCTTTCCTGCGCAAAGGCCATGGCAACTCACCCATGTTCTCCTAGTTTTGCAAGCACGAACTTATTTCAAGTACAGGTCTAGACTTCCATTATGAAACAGAACCTAGTGCTGGTTTGAACAAGACTTCTGGATTTGCAAATGCATTTTCATATTGAAGTGGCTCATGTGAAGAGACAGGACTGTCATAAACAGTATATATTGCTTTGCTACTCATAGGTTTGTCACTTGACGTAATGCTTCCTCATAGACACTTGCAAAATAAAGACAGAAACAAATGTAGTAAACACAACAAGGACCTTCCTTCAGATAAGTGACTAGATGGTGTATTTATGGAAATATGAGGTTGAAAGGTTTTTTGCAGGAACTTAAGCAAAAGGAGATTACAGTTAGATTGCCATCCATCTTCCACAAAGTCAGGAAGTAGATACTCAGAACCCAGTGGTTTCTGCTCAGAACAACTGCGGTGTGGGGTGGAAACAAACATGACTGTTTTGGAGCAAGAAACTATTATAGGAACGTCATGTTTGGCAGCAACATTTTTTGTTAGGAAAGTGATGGAAGAAAAAGAGAGGACCTATGGTTGCCTCCTGTAACATGATGCTATCTTTATAAAAGATGGTCAAAACTATCGCCAAATTACTTTATCAAAGAGAGATTGTTAGTACTGTAGGAACTTGCCTTTACAGAAGGCAGGTGGGTCAATTCCCTCCCAACTAGTCAAAATGTCTACCAAACAAATACGACATACTGATCTTGCCCCTTACAAATTCCTGAAGTGAAGAAAGTTACTATAACTTCTGAAAACAACTCACTGATTTTCATCACCATCTCTTGCCAGATTTACACTATGCTAGTATTGCCAGCAAAACTTGTGTATTGTTACAAATCAGGACGAGATAATCTTTGCAAAACATCAAGTGCTGCACAATCTCACAACACTCTTCATGTTTGCTTAAAGCCTTGTCCCAGTTAACTACATGGGCCATTTCCATATCAACTGCTTGTCTTGAAGTCTACATTTTTCCCCTTAGAAGAGCTTCAGCACATACAGTGTAGTTAGTTCTAGAAACAGGCATGGAGAAGGAAGGTAAAGTGTTAAGATTTAATCATCTTTTATCTGAGATGCTGCAACAGCTCAGTGTTTTTCTGAAGGATCTGTGGAATCATCACATGTAAAAATCAAGTACTAAAAAGCGCGTCATCCCTCTCATCAGCACTGCACATAGGCACACAACACGTACACAAGCACATGGTGCACAGCTGCAGCCCAACCTCTTTTTGCAACCTAAGAATGGCTGCATCCTGTCCAGTGAAGGAAGACTCTGTGTTCTAAAATTCCAAACTCTTACTCTCCAAAAAAAAAGTTATACAATAGTATACCTCCAGTAGATACTAAACACAACATGTTGTTCAAAGTAGGAAACAAAGAACAAAGGCAGAGAAAAGAGAGGCAGGACAGGGGACACAGGAGTAAGGCAGTGAGTAGGCCCATCTAGCAAAAGAATGAAAACGGCACAAGAAGCATAGCAGAGAAAGGTGAAAAATTCAGGAGATTCTCAATCACCACTTCTTTTCTCCAACAGTGTATTTCACAGACATTTGTTTTAAGCACTTATTTCAATTCTGGTCTAGCACTAGCAGACGTACACACACTAGAATGTACACCACCGCTTCCAGTCAGCTCACATGGCTTAAGCCCACAAAGGAACTCTTTCTAGGAATTCATAAGGTGCTACTTTCCAATTTATTCAATGCCTTCCTTTACATAAGGGGAAAGAAATGAAGCAGGGGAGATAAAATATATTTACTTTGATTCTTCATCTTGGTGTGCTCTTAATTCATTTAACTGCTCTTCCAGTGCACAGGAAGAGCTAAAAAGCTACTCTGGGGCTGAAATCAAGTTCCACAGTTGAGCAGACACACAAGACTTCCTTTTTAACCTGTACCTGTTACAAAATTCCAATTGGCCAGACAGACAAAAAGAGTCTCACAGGGATGAAGAGGATTAAGAGGAGCTCTCAGAAAAACTGAAGGGTCTGAAACTCTTTTAGTGTCACCTGAAATAACCTTATCACCCATCTTTGTACAATGTGGGAAAAAAACTAAATCCTTTCTTTTCCTCCCATTCCCTGCCTACACATTTAACAAGCTTCTAGCATTCAGAGCAGTCAATGCCAGAAGGGAACAGATTACAAGGTCCAGCATGTTCACAGGTCATGAACACTCAGATCAGGGTTCACAGGCAGAAGTTTGAAAGAAGTCTGAAGAACAGTTGCATTCTCATGTGCTAGATGCAACATACTCCAAGGTCTCTGTCCTTATATTTAAGGATAAACATTTGAACCTTCTCTTCTCCTTCATGACCTCATAGACAAGATGCTGTGGAGCAATATGATCAAGCTCTATATAACACCTGAGCAAAACATTTCAGCAACAAATCTGAATAAATTCAGACAGCCTTAGAAGGACCACATTTAAGTCTGGGATGAGTACTGCTCATTGCCAAACAAGAGCAAGTTTTTCATGAAAAGACAGAACTTCAATGCTAACACACCATAACCGCACAAACACAACTGAGAAACAACAGACCACTTGCTGTATAATACAACACTCGGTTAATGACTAAATCAGTATCTTAAAGAAAGCTTTGCCTAACTAGAGTGCAAAGCTTTCCTATTTGCCCTTCGAGTCACAAACAACAGACTTCCGTACCGCTGATCAGACATGAATAAAGACTCACCCTAGCAAATCTGACTCTGAAGTTACAGTCAAAACCTTAAAAGATTATCTCCAAAAAATATACAAAGAAAAAATTGATAGACTCCATAGAAGACAAGAAATACAAAGTAATTTCTGCATCCTTGCAGACACTTGATGTTAAGGCTTCCGTTCCTACAATACTAGCAATCATAAGATATATTGTTTGTGAACAAGGTAACTGTCCTTCAGAACTATCAGAAGATTGTTCATTTTTTAAAAGGTTATGTTCCTGCAAGAAAAAGGCAACTGATAGAATAATATTTTGGAAATTAACTGCTAGCCATTAACCTTGTGCTAGAAACATTTTCATTGATCTTCTGAAACAGGTAGCTCAGAATTCACAAGGCCTAAGACATTTACTGGAAACACTAACCTTCGGGCTTGCCAGTGCAAATGAAGTGAGGCAAGCACGGAGAATTCTAAGCAGAGCTAAGTACTTATTCTTTAAACAGTTTCTCTTATATACATTATTTGTACTTCCTTCAATCCAAGCTAAAGATAGGAGGAGGTCCACAAAGTAGTTCCTTTAAGTAAACTGTCCAACACAGACTACTTTCATTTTCGATATAAAAAAAAAGTTTGCAGCTGCATATAGTTCAGCTACATTCACAAGTACAAATACATTTTCACATAGACTCTTAGAAAGGTTAAAGAATTGTCATACCTACCTGTCACATTGTTGCATTATAGAGATTTCTTTAATTATTTCTTGAAGATCTGACTCCACAGGGACCTGTTTAATTGCTACAACTTGTCCGGACTCTTTGTGTATTGCTTTAAACACGCTTCCATAAGACCTAAAAAATAAGAGAGGGAAATGTTGTTTTTTTTAAACAAGATAAACTGCTTCTCATTTCCATTATGCAGAAACTCTATGTCACAGAAGCCATGTGTTCATGCAGAAGTTTGAGGGCTTTTTCAGGCTGCAAAAAATACAGTTCTATCAAGACCTCAGGAAAGACATGCCTCTGAAGAATGAGCCTTTGTCAAGATGTAGTGTATCTAACTCCAGTACAGGCACAAGCACCTTTGCTGTCTTAATAAACAATGAACATCAAAACGACATAAATTTATTTGGGGAAGTATGGAAGTCTACTGATATATGCAGTTTCTTTATTGTTAAAACTTGTCTAGAGAAGCATTCCTTAAGACATTTACAGTCACTCTCTCTGTAACTTAATATTTCAACACACGCTTTATATACTGTTTCCCCAGAATCCATCCCCTCATAAATAGCTGCACTTACCCTTCACCAAGTTTCTCCAGAACATCAAAGACTTCTTCAGGCTGCTTAGTTAAACTATCTTCACTTAGCTTTTTCAGCTTGCTAAAAGAAATACAAAAGTTATTTGTTTGTTCAGGAGGCAAAAGACACAGAATTCAAATTTTCATACAAGTGAGCAGACAGAAGAAAAAGATTATAAAGAAAAACATATTCCAATGAAAATAAAATGCCTAATTAAAGCGCAGTAATAAAATTCTAATCAACCATCATATAAGACAGAATAAGTTATGACAATTTCTGTCATTATCACTTTCTCACTAATGTTTGCTCAATTCAAAGCAGCATGGGACCAATTCACTGTCCAAACCACTTCCTTTGCTAAAGTAGAAACAGCCAAAGAATACAGTAAAGCTCACCTTTCAGTCAAAAAACAGCATGCAAACACATGCTTGTTACTGCCTACAGTATGCCATGTTCTTATCTAAGAAAGCATAAGTCAATCCTTCACTCACATGAAGTATCCACTTTCTAAACTATACCACTCCTAAGCCAGTGAATTACATCAACTTAGAAGCAGCATACAGTAGCACTTCACCTCCACAGGTGGTAGCAGAACACTGAACTTCCAAGAGCTGAGTACTGTAAGAGCTGTTGGGGCAGTCCCTTTTGCATCTCTTTCTGAACGTACATAGGGACAGGCGCAACAAAATCTCTCATTACATAACACCATCACACTTTGCCCTCCAGTTCTCTCTCACACAGTCTCAAATCACTCAGTATCGTCCTACAATTTCTCCCAGCACCTTCAACTCACTCTTATCATTATACTTTGTCCTCTACAAGCTGTCTTAGCCTTTCACTGGTCTCCAGCATTCCCATCCAGGCAGCCCCCCAGATTCCTGGCAGATCTCAGAACACAACTTGGCTGCAAGCTTGCAATAGAGCTGACACTGAACACAGTACAGGAAAATATAACCCCACACACATTGTGGTGAGGCTGGGTGGCTGCAACATGTAAATCTTTCACCCTAAAAGTTACAGGGAATTTTGCTGCAAGACTGAAATAACAAGTTAACTCTACATGATAGCCAAGGGTACTATTAAAGTGGAAGACGAGCTGAAGAATAGCTGGTGCTATAGTGTTAGATACAGACAATGTATTCCATATGCAAGAGGATGAAAAAGGAAAAAGAGAAACTTTGAAGCACGCAGATGATTGAGAACTTATGGAAAATATGCTATCCTGTGACATTTTCCTGGAAACAAATACAAAACAGGGGAAGGGAAGAGGGCACAGACAGAAAAGATTGTCAAATCTAGCATTGGAAGAACAGTATTCAAAAGAAACTCCTTCCATAGTAAGGGATCCAATTCTGTGATAAACACAACTAATAAAAATTGAAGTGAAATTACTGGTAAAGGAACTCATGAGTCAGAAGGGACTTGTTAATGCCAACTATCTAAGTAAAGACAAAAATTTAAAGTAATTGTATAAGCACACAGGTCATGTAGATTGGTGTTAAACGAAAAAAGCAAGGGGGAGAGGGGCAGGAAGGTGTACACATTTATATATCAAAGAACTATTTCACAGATGTAGCAATTACCTGAAGACAAAAAGCATCCACAATCAGTACGGAAAGGTACATGAACTGCTGCAAAAACCATGCAGGTTGCAACAGCAAACAGGCAAGAAGCTAGAAAGCATGTGTGTTCAAGGAAGAACAAAAATCTCCACAGCAAAGGAATGGCACAACTCATGAATACAAAGAAAAAGAGCAGAAAACTCTAATGAGAGCAGCTAAATAAAGTCTGCGAAAGTGGCCTACAAATCAAACACAGGAACACATAACAACCCTGCTTGCTTTCTCACCCTCTCTCTGCTTGTTGGAGAACAGAAAGATGAAACTTAAATCTTGCAGGGAAGCACATACTTCTTTACTGAACAAGTGTAAGTTGAGACAAATAAAAAGAAGACTGAGAAAAAAAAAGATTTTGCAGGTAGATATTAAAGAAACAAATCATTCTTTTTTCTCCTTTTGTTTCGAAATCTTTTTTCCCCTCTCTGATCAAGTTATCCGCAGCCTTAAAGGCAGTGTTCACAGAATGAGTTACTGCAACCATCTTCTGCTTGCCACCAACAAAAGCCATGCACAGTATGCTTACGATACCAGCAAAGCCTCAAAAAATAAAAAGCATGACCATTAACTCAGCCTCTCACTTAATGGACGAGCTGCGTAACAGAAGACGTACTCAACAGAACAGTGGAAGAACTGAACTTTCTAGTTACTGCAAGAGAAGCGAAAATACACAGTAACCTCAACCAAAGAGGTTAAGAAGAAAACACTTCCACTCGCTCATTAAAAGAGCAATGCCTGCTAAAATGAGAAGGGGGGGGGGGGGGGGGGGAAATCCATACCAAGAAGGTTCCAACAGCACCATTAATGCCAAGGCATTGGGAGTGCCTGAGAAGAGCTAGGGAAACAGTCACAATCAGCCATAAACTGATCAAGACCAATGTCACTGTTAAATAACAGATTATCTGAAGTACTCAAGAGGCAACCTGGAGATCAAAGAAATAAGTATTCTGTAGTCTTAAAAATACTTTCACATTATCCAACTCTGACAAACATGTTATGAGACCCAATAATACTTAACACTAATGCAGTTAAATACTAAACCTGTTATAGAGGAAGAAATACATCAGCCTCAGGAATTTCATCACCAAATACATCACCCAAAGTACTTCATGCTTCTTCACAAATCTATTGTAAGAGTACAGATCCAGGTCTGGTGTTCAAATGACAGTATTAACACTACAGTTCTTTGAACCATAGAAAGATCCCAAGGACACAGACTGTTTAACAATTTCTATTTCTAGAAAACTAACAGAATTCCCACTTCTAACTACAGAACAGCATGTGATGTACCCTGAAAGGGTTTGTTGTAATAAACAAAGCATTTATGAAAACTTGAGAAGTAAGGAGGAGGAAGACGACTGTTGTAACTGGCTGTAAAGCACTAAGTAGAATACAAGAAGAAAATACTAGAAATATTATCTTAATATATTGGTTAAATCAAGCAACTAACATCTAGGACAGAGAAAGACATCTAAGACTTCAGAATCAGCTTCTTAAATCAGGAGGTTTTTGTGTGCACACATATCCTACCATCCATACTCTGAAAATGAGCAAGATAAGACATATAGAGACTAACATTTCAGAAGGATCCCTGCTTTTTAAAAGCATTAAGGTGTGCTACATGGGAAGTGAATACAATGAGCACCTAGCAAAATACCTATGTACTAAGCCATGATTAGAAATACTTGGGGATCAGAGAGGGGAGACACAACTGAAGAGAAAAAGGACTCAGGAACAACCAGAGAGAAAGGTGTCTCATTCCAATCCCATATGGGTCCTCTACTTCCATAACACAAGCATTGAAAACAGAACAAATCAGGAAATTCAGGCACCATTTTTTTTTCTGGCCACAGAATATAACTGTATATATATGTATGTACATACGTGAGAAAGTCTAAAGGAGACTTATAGAAGACGAGTATGAAACCCAGAGAGAAACTCATTCTGCTTTTGTTTGTTCTAGAAAATCATCAGGTAGTGGCTATGGGCTATTTCATTAGTTTTCCAGGAGAGCTGTTCCTGAAAGCAGGAAGACTAGCTAAACTACAATTCTGAGATAACAAGAGGTGTCAAAAGGATTTTCTTGTTCCAAGCAGATTTGACTTTCTGCGTAACACCTAGTCTCTTAAAAAAGAAAAATACATCCTAGCAAAGAATTTTACTTTTATAAATCTAGTTGATGTGAGAAAACGTTCATACTTAGCGTCACCAGAATCTTACACGTCATTGAGTACGTCAGCAAAACTCCACATAATCAAATGCAGAAAATCACAAAAACAGTGAGAGACACCCAAGACTATCAGTCATGAAGATCAGAAAAATCTGAATTGGGACCTGAGACAGCGAGATACAGGTTTTTTTCACCCTGACATGAAAAAACAAAGTATGAGTTTAGTGTCCTATGGTCATTACATGCAGACTTTACAAAATAAACGGGTGCTGTGCTATACAGGTAGGCACTAAAAAAACCTCTGAAAGCTAATGAAGAAAAATAAAGCAGGACTAAAGAATAGAACTCCATCAATTACTGTCATGAGTTATGGAAAACTGGATAGCTGCTCCATGAAACATGAATATATGCGGTTTATTTTGCAGAAGAACTAGCACATTGAAACATTTAAAAAGAATGGCTGGGATCAATTATACTGATATATTAAAAGAAAAGCTAGTAAGAGAAAAATCACTGCAGTCATCATAAATAGAGGTGGCATGTGAAAGCCTTGAGACATTTACGCTGCTTTACACCATTCACACAAGTAGAAGTGAGTTTAAGACAGTTGACATTGTTGCATTGTATACTTACATTTAGTTTTCTACCAAGGAAAACCCAAACAAACTTACACTTTCATCCTATCATTTTCAGGAGGAACTTGACAATTGTCATTCATATGACCCTTCATGCCCATTGACACAAAAATTAAAACCAGCGTATCTCTCACTGACAGTTCATGTTTTTAAAACAAGTTTTTCCCTTCCCACAAAACTTAAGTTTCAGTGAAAATGAAACAGCCTCAGTTTAAAGAAAGAACAAGAAAACATTATTTAACAAGCTCCATGCTTGTCAAGAGGTCTCTTATTTGGCAGCAGTGTGCAAGAGATGGGCAAGATTAAATACTTTGTATTTGACAGAAAGGTGTCTCTAGCAACTTTCCTTTTCACTTGTATGCAATCTATCTCCTCATACCCGAGTATGCCAATATATACAGAAAAAATGCAACAACAATAACAGGGGAAAATTACAAGACTGGGAGGCAAATTTTGTAACTGACTATTTCAAGACTGAATGTCCTTTTTAGTGAAAGAAAGGAGTATAAAACTCATTTGAAATAGTTAGACATTCAAATGCAAGAAAACGCTTTGTGTCAACTACTGCACAAACTGTTCAGTACAGAAATCAGAACACCTACTCTAAATTATGTCAAAACGTACACAAAATTATTCTGAAAAGGGCTCCTCCTCAGAATAATTTTGCTACTGTTGCAGTACATTAGTCAAACACGAAAAGCTAGTGATTTTGACAGCATCCCTATTTAAAAGCCACAGTGGCCTGGCCTATCACTCGGGCATCATCACTGCTACTTTCCGAAGGGCTGTTTTAAAGATTTACACAACACACAACTGTGTTATGCGTTCCTTTACAGGGAAAGGGAGAATAAAACTGCCCTATACCTGTGAGAACACTATGATTCTAGGACATCTGTGCAGCTTTGAAACATCAATATGAAGTTCTTGCTGGCACTACAGATGTCATGGCAATAGATCCCTGTCAGTAACAGCTCCTGTGGACAGCAGGCACCAAAGTAAAGTAGTCTAGTGCTCACATCTGTTTCACCAAGTAAACACAGTGTGTCCATCCCAAACCACTATTGCATTCAAGGCAGGCATCGAAAAATTCATCCCACAAAAATCTGTACTCCTTCTAGACTTGCAGAAAAAGAGGGTGGCCCAGAAGATAGTTGGGAACGTCAAACAATCAGAAAACTGTAAAAAAAAAAAAAAAAAAAAAAAAAAAAAAAAAAAAAAAAAAAAAAAAAAAAAGCAGATATATAAGCACATTTATGAAAAATTTAGTTCAAATCCTATGAAAAATCTGAGTTAATATCTCATGAAAAACTGAGTTCAAATCTTCCCTCCCACTAAAGAAATAAATCCATTAAGTTCTCATCACATTCAAATTTCCAGAAACAAGCTTCAAAAAACATTGAAAGTATAAAAACATGCCAGAGACTTTAGAAGTTCTTTTATCAGCTTTCTAATTGTTCCTGACAGAACCTAAGGATTTAAACAGCTCCTAATTTTCAGTTAGGCCAGACATGCACCTCCAGCTTGGTAATAAAGTTAGAGCAAATCCCAGATCTTCCAAAAAAAAAAAAAAAT